CAGCAATAACCCGACACATGATAGCAAGTACGGATTGATAAGATGAAATTTCTAAAAAAAAAAAGAAAAGAAAAAAACAATTTACCACATTTCACCAGAAGATACTTAGGACGTTTACTGTCACATATGGCATAGATATACAAAATTTCAGTTGTTTTCATAAGGCTTCAATTAATACTAGAAAGTCAAAATAGATTCATCAGAATGAAATAAAAAATTGCAGCAGGAAACTTTCAAAAATAACCATTGTCCAAGACCAGTGAGACTTTGGAAGCCACCATAATGTTTTATATAAGTTGAGGTACTCAAGAAACAGTGCTAGAACCGAATAGAGGAACAACGTGCATTCAAAGAACAATTCGCCCTGACCTTGAGCCATGTCCGGCCATGGCGGATGTATTTGCAGTGTCAGACCAGCTGCTTCCTCACTCCTTAAAATAAAGGAAGATTACCAAGATAACACATACACTCACTACTGATCTAGGAAAAATGCAACATACTTCCTTCTGTCTTCTGGACTAGATGGATGATTAGTAGCATGCTGTGCCGTCGACCGATTCGGATGATGCCGACTACGAACAGAAGGTCTACCCGCCATCCAACTACATGCGCTGAAGCAGCTCAAAGAACTCACCAAAACAATTAATGCGCCAGCACCTCATAAGACCACAAGAACAATAAGAAACCTTGTGGCTTTAAAATGATTTTGAAATGCGATTGCGCGCAGCCAAAAGGAACAATGAATTCGCCATCAAGGACATTGATCTCCATATCAATTTAAAAAGAAAGAGCGCCACATGAGATCACATTTACTTCAAAGAATGGCAGCCAATAAATGTATAATATTCTAAAAGATTTTTAAGCAACACAAAAAAATTATTAGTACTACTTGATGCAAGAGTCAAAAGGATTTGCAACATAATAACAATTTCTAAATGAAAATTTTCAACTACTCCTGTTCCCAAAGAAACGGCTTTTGTATTGCTTCCACCGCCATATCTATAACAGAATAACAATGCTATACAATGTGTCATAAATAAAAAACCAAGAGCGAGGAAATTAGGAAAGAAATTTACAAAGGCGATCATAATGTAAAACACCCGTCAATACACCTTAATTTACTGAATAATAATTTTGTTACATGAGCATCCATTCATAACACGACTAAAAATATACAATCATTCAGTTTTCCGTTTCTTCGCTGCTGGTCGCTCAAATATGTTTCTCATGCCACCGGCATGCTTTATTTGGAATTTACTGTTTAATGCAGTCGTGGCTGCCCAAGACCCTTGATGGTCAGTAGTATCCTCAGCTGTTAAATGTGTCCATTTCGATCTGCTAGCTTTACCAAAGTTTTTAACCTAAACATAGCATTTTGAGATAGCCCAAATCAAACAAATGGCAAGAAGCAACATTATCTAAAGGCATTAAAAATCTACCTGCATCACTTTCGGCAGGACCGATTTATCGAACTGATCGTCAAGAGTTGCCTCGGCAAAATCGCGTTTCAGGATGTCATCTTCTTGGTCTAAGTAGAAGGCCCCTCTGTGGAAGTACTTTTGCAAGAACTTGTACTTGCCTTTCTTTTGCTAAAATCAAACGAAAAAGTTATATTTTAGAGAAGCTACACTAACCAAAATGAAAAGATATTATTTAAATGCAAAGCAAAAATAATCTAGGCTAATCAATGTATTTGAAACCTAAACGTGTTAAAAAAAACGAGAAAAACTAGAGATAAGAAAGAAAGAGAGGCCATTCAAAAGCTTACCATGTTCGTAATGATCTTGGGATTCATTCTCAAATACTGTTTTCTTTCCTCTTCATTCATTTTATGTATCCGATCCAACTCCGCCTTTTCATGAGCTTGGCTAAAAAGTTTTACTTCAGCTAACAAAGCAATTTACCACAGACTGCTGAACAACTGAATTCTAATAAAGATTTTTGTAGAGAAGGTTTTGCTTTAGATTATTAATCTAGTCTTGAAAAAATTAAATATTTAAATCCAAACTCCAGCTCAATATGGATTAATCTGAACAACAATAGCTTTGCAGTGATATTTCATTAAAATAAGAACTGCTTTCTAAAGAAAAAACTCCCCCCTCCTTTCTCACCTGACGAGTGTCATTCGGCATAAAAGTGAATCGGAGATGAACTTACGCTTCTCTTTCGTCTTTATTGCGTTTCAACCTTTTAACTTCTCTCAACTTCCAGTTTTCATATGCAATTTCATCGTCTTCATCATCTGTGTTAACTGAAGTTAAGTCAACATTATCTTCTTTCTTCCGTCTCTCCATTTCTGCTTCTAATCTTAGGACATCTTCAACCATCTAAAAAAATAATGAACACAATATTAAAAAAAAAGCAATACAAGAAATTCATTTTCTAAAAAACTAACAGTAAAAAGCTATGTGGACGAGAGCATTAAACAATAAAGTTTTTAAAAATATACTTTTGCAGACTCTCGCTGTCTTTGCTTCAATTTTTCTTCATTTTCTTCCTTTAACTTCTTCTCCAGTAACTTGTTATTCTCCTCTTCGATTAAAGTAGCGCGTTTGCTCCTAAGCTTTTAAGATAAATAATGGAGCATTTAATTTAAAAACTACTTTTTTCCACTCTCACTTTGATCCCTCAAAAAAAAAAAAAAAAAAAAAAAAAAAAAAAAA